CCTTAGAAGTCAGCAGATAAAGAATTCAGGGAGACAAACTCAAGGGCCCTGGTAAGTTGGAAGGGGAAAGAAATTCCATCTTATTTGTACTAGCCTGTAATGAACTATAACATTTCCTTCCATTATGGATGCAGGCAGCAAACTCACAGTAGTTAGTAGTAATTCTCTCATATGATTGAAATATTTTGAAATACATTTTCATTTACATTCGAATTCATTTACATTCACCACTACTTTGTCATCATGGTAGTAAAGGAAAACTGTTTCTCTACTCACCACACTTCTGACATCAAATGTGTGGATTTCCACCCCACATCATCTGATTTTCTAACTTTCTGGACAGCAACTGGGAGTCCTATCATTGAATTCAAGTCAGACTCTAACTACCCAGAGCAGTTAGCATCAGACTTCCCAACTCTGAGGGCTCAGCTGCAGAAGGCTGCCCTCACTTCAAGGTCCCCAGGGTCCCTGCACTTCTGTCCAACTTGGCCACAGAGTTGGAGATTCCCACACCCACCTCTGTTTTGATAGTTTGTTAGACAAAACTTGGAAATAAAAACTCAAAAATTATTGGCTGACCAAACTTGGAAACATTTACTTATGTTCAGCAGTTCATTATAAAGAATATTATAAAGAACAGCCAGATGAAAAATCACACTGGGCAAGGTCTGGCAGGTTCTGTCCCTGTGGAGTTGGGGTATCATCTCCCACCCCAGCATGTGGATGCATTCCTCAGCCTGAGAATTCTCCAAACCACATAGTTTAGGGGTTTTTATGGAGGCTTCATTGCATAGTTGTAATCAACCATCAACTCTTTCTCCAGTCCCTCTCCCCTCTTTGGAGGATGGGGTGGACTGAAAGTTCCAAGCTTCTAATCATGGCTTGGGGTGACCAGCTCCCATCCTGGAGCCCACCAAGAGTTGCCTCATTAGAATAAAAGGAGCTCCAGTCACCCAGGAAATTCTGAGGAATTTAGGAGCTCTGTTTAAGAGGTTCCTATCATCTCCATCCCTCAGGAAATTACAAGGGTTTTAGGGGCTCCATGTCAGAAACTGGAGGCAGAAACAAAATACATGTTTTTTATTATGTCACAGATAAGTAGTTCTTAGATTTTTCTATTGAATCTGGTTATGTTATACATTATAAAGCAGCATCATTATATCACACGTTTGGCTTTCTAAAAAATATTTTGGTATTTGTATTTCCATATAATTGCTTTGTAAATTTATATTATTTTATCATGGCAAACTATACATAACATAAAATTTACCACTTTAACCATTTTAAATGCACAGTTCGGTGGCATTAAGTACATTCACAATGCTGTGCACCCATCACCACAGTCTCCAGAGCTTTTTCATCACCCCAAACTGAAACTCTGTACCCACTAATCAATAACTCCCCATTACTCTCTCTCATCACCCTGCTACTTTCTGTCATTATGAATTTGACTACTCTAGATACCTCAGATAAGGAGATTTATACAATATTTGCCCTTTTGTGTCTGGCTTATTTCACGTAGCATGATATCTTAAAGGTTCATCCATGATGTTGTATGTATCAGAATTTCATGTCTTCTTAAGGTTGAATAACAATCCATTATATGTACATACATATCACATTTTGTTTATCATTTATCTGCTGATGGACATTTGAGCTGTTTCCACGTTTTGACTATTATGAATAAAGCTATTAACATGGGTGTACAAATATCTATTTGAGTCCCTTTTATTCGTTTTGGGCATATGCTCAGGAGTGAAAATGTTGGATCACAAGGTAATTCTATGTTTACTTTTTTGAGGAATATGTGTTCATTTTTGTGAAATAAAACATTTTTCTGAGATGAGAGGCATACCAGACTCCCCTTACACATACTTTATTTTGCATGCCTGTCTTGGCCACTAGATGGGGGACTTCTCGACAAGAGCTGCCCGGCTCCTTGGGTCCCTTCAGAGACTCCCAGAGGTGTACTAAAAACATTCAGCTCCAAGTGGGTGCCATGCGTGTCCTGCACTGGGTGAGATGCAGGCAATACAAAGGTGCAGAACGCACCCCAGCTGAACTCAGCCTAGCGGGAGAGTTAGGCCTGAGGATGACTGATCAAAGACGCCCCAACTCCTGTCTGTGCCGCTTCCTAGATGTATGACCTGGGGCAAGGAAACCCTTCCTGGCCCCAGCTTCCTCATCCATAAAATGATCTACATCATCGGATCAATTCCATCACGAACATATGGCTTGGCCTTTAGTACAGTGCCTGGCACATGGTAGGTACTCAACAATTTTGTCCTTGTTACCTGCGGTGAGCAACTCTGGCCGGTTTCTGGGGAGCAGTTGGGCGGCCCTCCCTTGCCCGGGAGTCCATTCCAGGTTGCCGCGAGAATGCACAGGGAGAGCCCGGAGCCTNCCCCAGCTTCCTCATCCATAAAATGATCTACATCATCGGATCAATTCCATCACGAACATATGGCTTGGCCTTTAGTACAGTGCCTGGCACATGGTAGGTACTCAACAATTTTGTCCTTGTTACCTGCGGTGAGCAACTCTGGCCGGTTTCTGGGGAGCAGTTGGGCGGCCCTCCCTTGCCCGGGAGTCCATTCCAGGTTGCCGCGAGAATGCACAGGGAGAGCCCGGAGCCTGCCCCTCTGGCAGGCGCCGCGTGCCCGCCTGTCGGGACTATCCTGCCTCTCCGACCGCGAGTCCGCTCTGTGCAGCCCGGGGAAGCCGGGAGGTCCGGGAGCACCGCGCGGTACGAGGCAGCAGCGGTTGGCCCTCCGAGCCGGCTGGGGGCGCTAGTCCTGATCTGGCCAGGAGGGCGCTCCGGCCGGGCTCCTCTCGGCTGCAGCGCACGGCCATCCGGCAGTCCGCGGGGTGGGGACGCGGGGACAGTGGCCGTGGCTGCGTATCGCCGGAGCCAAAGCGCGCAGGCCCGTCCCGGCGGTCGGGGGGCGGGCGGGGCGAGGACGCCATGTGGTTTATGTACGTGCTGAGTTGGCTATCGCTCTTCATCCAGGTGGCCTTCATCACGCTGGCCGTCGGTGAGAGTTTGGACCCCGGTCCGCGCGGACTCCCGTCCCGGCTCTGTGCCGGCCGGTGGTCGCGTCACGAGGGCGTCTCCCCACTGCTCCTGGCCTTCGCATCCCCCTGCCCTACCCTCCTGCTGACCCCAGCAGCCTAGCCTGACCGGGTCCCTCCAGGTGTCACAACATCCAGCCCGGCAATGCCCAGCAGAGGTTAACTCAAGTGCCTCTTGCCCGTGCTCCCATAACCGCTGCCGCACCCACCCTCGCGGGCAGACCGCACCGAACTTTTCCCCACCTTCCGCAGCCCTTTGGCCTTCAGCCCTTTGTACTTCCTACTCTTTTAGACACTCTTCTGCCTAGTTCCTACTATTGATCTCAGCTGAGAGCTCACCTCCTCAGGGAAGCCCTCCTTTTGGGGTTTGATGGTCCAGCAGTGTCCTGTACTTCCCCTTAGGCAACACGTGTCACAGTGGGATCGTCCCACTCCCCTTCCTACTGCTCCCATCCTCCCACTCCCAACCCCAGCTGGGTCAGGAAAGGAACCTGGTCTGCGTTGTACCGTATTCTCAGCACTCAGCTTAGCATCTGCATACTAAGGGCCCGACAGATACTGAATGAGTGAAAGAAATTCCCTTTTGTGCAGCAGAAGTTAGCATTGTGCAGAGAGGCATCAAGTACAGATTCAGTTCACTTCGATGAAGTCGCTCCTCATTTGCCCTGAGTTTATTTCTTCAGACTTGGAAGGGCAACACATGAGTTGTTTGGTTTGTTCCTTACCTTCTGGGGTCCAGGAAGGGTTGATGGGGACTCAGTTGCCAAGAGAGGGATGACCAGGATGACAGAGGTAATCCTGGCTAATGTTCTCCCTGCTTGTCCTCTTTCCCATTCCCACAGCGGCCGGACTCTATTACCTGGCAGAACTGATAGAAGAATACACAGTGGCTACCAGCAGGATTATAAAATATATGATCTGGGTAAGTGGCAGCTCTCCCCAGAATTCCCCCGCACTCTTTTGTCCTGCCTTAAAAAGAGGAGGTGGGGCAAGTTTGGCATGGGTGATGAGACCCTTGACCCCACAGTTTCCTGAGGGTGCCAGTACCTACTCCCCACGCTATACCATGTTTCCTGGGTCTGCTTTCCTGGGCCAGGTCTTCCCTGGCCCTCCCCAAGTGGCATTGTTTCTCTGCAGATACCCTTCTCAGTGCCTCAGGGTGAGAGTCAAGTGCACTTTCTCTGTTGACGGGACCATGGTTTTGCCTTTGCTTAGCGGTTTTCCACTGTTTCTAGTCCCTTACTCTTTCTCCAGCATTTAGAACTCAGGGGAACGTTATGGAAAATTTTGACAGCTTGTTCATTGCCCTCTTTCCAATTGGATTAAGGGACTTGTCCTAAGAGGGAAATTCCCTGGCCCAGGTCCTGCCTTCCCCAGGACTCATGGAAAGCTTCTCTTCCTGGAGACACAATCCTTTACATTGATGTCAAAGGCACAGGAGTGACTGCTGGTGGATAGATTTCTGCCAGATGCAGGAAAGGCTGGGGGTTGGGCTGGACATTTGGACAAGAGGAACCCAGATTCCCTCAAGTCACCTGATGTCAGCCACCACAACCATGCTGTGCATGGCCTGGGGTAGGAAGTTAGTGGTAGAGACAAGACTATAACTCTCAATTCTGGGTTCAGAGGCCTGGCTTATAGGTGTTGGCACAGGAATTAGACCTACATTCAACCAACTGCCATTTGTAAAGCGCTAACACTTCAAAACAGTGTTTTCAGACTGCAGATATGATTCATTATTGGGTTGTCTAATCGATTCAGTAGGTCATGGTCAGCATTTAAAAACTAGGAACTAGAAAAGATTAGAATTGAAATTTGAACTTTGATCATATGTATGTATGTGTTTGTCCTTAGTGGGTTGCTGTCAAAAAAACTTTGAGAATGGCATTAAAAGATGCTTCCCTCTGGGAGATGAGAGCTGAGCTCTCAGGGTTGTCAGATGCATGACTGTAAAACAAGGAGAGATTGAAGCATGAACCTAGTTCATGGTGGGCTGGGGGTTAGGGAATCCAGGAAAGCTGACTGGAAGAGGCTCCCAGCACTGTGCCTCTGGTTATTTCAGTTCTCCACAGCTGTGCTGATTGGCCTCTACATTTTTGAGCACTTCCCCTCCTTCATGATTGGCGTGGGCCTCTTCACCAACCTCGTCTACTTTGGCCTCCTCCAGACCTTCCCTTTCATCATGCTGACCTCGCCTAACTTCATCTTGTCATGCGGTGAGAGGGGGCAGAGTTGGGGAGGCAGCTGAGGCAGGTTAGATGTGCTCAGCTCAGTCTGCAGCACCGAAGGGAATGTAGAGAAAAAAGACAAACCACTGAGGTCCTCCAGGAGGCTGATAGGGAAGATGGAGTTCTCACATGTGAGGAGTCTACAGCCCACTTTGGCTTTAGTGACTAGAATCTGGGGGTGGGGGGTGGGGGTGGGGAGCATGGGACACTCAGAAGGGGAGGGCTTTGCCAGGGAGGTAAGTTTGTGGACAGGTTTGAAAGGGAGAAGAGGTGTGTTGGCTGAGTAGTTAAAACCCCCGGGAAATCACTTGGCCAGGAAAAGCCTGAAGCCCTACCCTGGCAGGCAGGCAGCACCCCATCCAGTCCTCCAGCCCATAGTTATGATTAAGATGTGCCTCTGGCGCTCTGGGTCCCCCTGCAGACAGCTGCCTTGAGAGCCCTGGCCTTCCTGCCTTGGCCCTGCCACTACTATCTCCCCCCTGAGGAGTCATTTTCCCCCTCTGACCTTAGCTGCTTTATCTGTTCAGAGGTGATGTTTGGGAGACTCAGTGGGGGGTGGTATGGGGAGTTCTCCCCTGGAGACTGGGCCCCTTCTGATCTTCTGGGGAGGCTTCCCCCACTGCAAAGTAGCAGTCTCTCCTTGCTTCCCTTTCTCACTCCAGTGACATGCCCTTTAGATGCCTGAGAGTCTTTCTGAAGATCT